TTGCTAGGTTTTCTTCTACAAAGGTGTTATCATGCTTAAATTTGAAGCTTGTTTTTTTTTTTTTTGAATGAAAATAAATTATTTAGGGATCAATTATTTTATTTTAGTAAAATGCATCTTGTGATCTTTTGAGCAAAAGGAGAGCCCATTTTCAAGTTACCCTAAAGGTGGATTTCAACTGTCACATAATTTTCACATCCGTACGCAGATAAACTTTACACGCATAAATAAGATAGAGACATTGCATGGGAAAATATGTGTAAATGGAAGGGTTGAACGTCGCTCAACTTTTATGTGTTTATGTAGGACCTTTCATACATTGCCTCTTATTCTATTTACACACGTACCTGAAAGCACACAAAAAAAGGTATGTGACAGTTGAAATCCACCTTAACAACCCAGTCAATTTTTTTGAATAGGTTCAAGGTTCAAGTTTATTTCGCAATATTCAAGTTCATACAGTATAAGATGGCTTACAGAATCAGTAGGTTAACAAATGATGAAAAATCAATATAATATACAAGTTTGTTGATATGTGCACGGTGACCAAAGTAGCCGAAGCTTTCGTGTTGGTCGTGATAACCAGTTAGAGTAGTGTGGCAAGGCTAAGGCCTTAATTTGTGTGTTGTTTATTCATTCAACCTACATGTAAGTTCTGATTAGGCAGCAAATATACTTGTATTTCACTGAAAGCGGAAAAACTACTGGCTTTCAACTTGTTTTGAACAGGCTGCCCTAAATTTCTATTTAAGGAAAGTCCTGATGCACAACCATTCTCATGGCATAGGTTATAACAAACACCAGAATTTGCTTTGAAAAGGAGGCTCAAAGTAATTCAGAAATGGACTTTTAGACATCATTGATTGATGTTATTCTTTTTTGTATTTTTTCATGTAGTAATGATGTGTTTAAGAAGTGTTATTTTTTTTATATTAGGATATCAAGACATTTATGGGTGAAGAAAAGCTTAAAACATTCATCAATTTCTGCTTAAAGTACATTGCAGAATTAGATATTCCTGTAAAAAGGTAAGAGTCAACAAATGCATAAAATTTTAAAAGCAAGTGTATTCAAGTTAGTATTCATAGCAGTCTCTATCATAACCATGACTCTTGAGACAGTCAATGCCAAAATGTACTTCCCAATACAATAATGTGTTCTGGGCAGAATTTGAAATGAGCAGGGCAATCGACTGATAGCGCTAGAATAACCTTTGGTATACACTGTATTCACTCGAGATGAGAAGCCTTAAGAACCGTGTTTTGGATGCCCAACAGATTATACAAACTGGTGGTTATAAAGCAGTGGGTTTCCACTGTCATGTAATTTTTACATGCATATGTGCATAAAAACTACCTGCATAAAGTAAAATAGAGGCAATTTATAGAAGGTGAGGCATTTACTCAACTTTAAACTAAAATTAATGTTTACCCAGAGCTGTTATTAACAAGCAGGGGCTGAGGATTTTCCCCAGCTACCATGGATGTAGCCCCCAGTAGAAAAATAGAAGAAAAACAGAACAAAAAGAAACCCCAAGCTGTTTGATTCCTCACCTACTTGTTGTATTCACCCTGCAACTTGAAATCTTAGTTAGAACCCTTTTTACCCTTAATAGTGCTCAAGTACCCATGATACATGTAAGCATTTCATTTAATTTGACATATTCACTGTACAGTGTACATGTACCTATTCCTAAAGAGGTAATGATGGTGTATCTTATTATGGTCAACAAAATGCTTTTGACATAATTTTTATACATCCCAGGAATTAAGTTTGCACACCCTTGCTTGTACCAGGTAACTATTAAGCAGTCATAGAGAAGATCTGTGGGGGTGGGACTGGGTAGGGGAGTGATTACATTGTACATGTACACATTTCTTTTCTCATCTCCAATAATAGATGGTTTTCTCAGTAACATAATCAAATTGTTAAGTCAAAATATTGAGGTTTTACTCATTCTTTTTTACACTAGGTTGAAGATAAACAAAACGTAAATCTTTATACAAGTTTCCATTCCAGTAGCATGTTTCATTTCGAAAATACAGCAATTTGAACTTCCGAGTTTTCGCAGTGTGTGACACCAAAATAGGAATGCTGTCTCATTGAAAAGTCTCTCTTCTTGATTTTCAGCCGTATAACCATTTCAAGTATTAGAAGATATGTTTATGCACACATATGCTTGTTCTCCACGGGAAAGAAAGAGCTTCTATAGAGAAAGTGAACTCCAGATGTTTTTTTTTATTTCCGGGGGCCATATTGGTGCACCAAAACGGTACACCATTATGGCATAACTCAGAAACTGTGGGCTACGAAGACCTGAGACTTGATCAAATTGTTTATATATGTGTTTTATAACCTTTCATTTTCTTGGCTTCTTCCACTGGACGGTTTCCAATTTATTTTTTTGTTGCGTGATGGTGAGAAACGATTTATACAATAATATTATTGTTAACTGTCCAACTACCACATTTTATGGCTTTTATTTTCTTGCAGAGGAACATTCATAGAGTTTCGAAATGGAATGATAAATGTTTCACCAATAGGAAGAAATTGTTCACAGGAAGAAAGAATAGCATTCTTTGAGTATGACAAAGTAAGTGGATCTTAACATTTTTCACATCTAAGCATCTCTCCCTAACCGACAGACCAACCTGTTTTGTGATAGAAAGGACAATAGCTGCTCCCATGTTTTTAGCTATATTTGGGACCAAAATGTAAGTATAGAATACTTCTCAGTTGGTCTTTAATTGTTATTTTTCACAGGTTCACAAAGTTAGGGATAAATTTGTGTCTGTTTTGAGAGAAGAGTTTGCAGATTATGGACTACAGCTCAGTATAGGAGGTCAGATAAGTTTTGATGTCTTCCCAAAAGGCTGGGACAAGACTTATTGCCTGAAGCATGTGGAAAATGATGGTTACAAGGAAATTCATTTCTTTGGGGATAAGTGCTATCAGGTGCAGTACTCTCTTGCTGTGTATAACAAACAATTAACAATATTATTGGACGAGGTTGAGCAAAATATAGTGATTTGTCTGTGGTGAGCAGTTCGGCTTCGGCAAATAATTGATCTGCAAGACACTATCAAATCACGATATTTTGCGATAACCGAGTTCAATAATAATATTGTGTTATCATTCGATCGCCGAGTTGGTTTTTTTAATGAATATCCTTGGGAAGCAAAGCGATTTGCCATTTTCACGCAAGAGTGATTGCAAGAAGGAGAAAAGCACGGTTTCCTTTACGCATGAGCAGAATATCATTTGCAGCCAAACACTGTTGACGGCATTGCGCATGAGCAGACCATTATTTGTAGGCAGTTATTTGCAGGTCACATGGTTGGCTTTCGGCCAATGAAAAGAAAGAAAATTTGCTTCAAATGATAATAATTATTATTTGCATTTATCACATGGCCAGTTTTTTGAAACCTTAGAATGACATTAACAGTCTGCCAGGCAAGGTAAAATTAACTTTAAGCCATGAGATCAATATTAGTGGCCAGAGCAGGACTTGAAGCTGGACCCCCAAGGTTGCAATCCAATGCGCGGGTCTTGGCCAGTCTGCCCTCTTGACTGTTGGGAAGCAGCATGGCGGAGTGATCAGTGCATCGGATTTGCAATCCGACATTCCCAGATTCGAGTCCTGCCTGGGCGCTGGATATGTTTTTGGTTGCCTCGCGTTGCTTCCTGCTAGTTGAGCTGGTTAATTCTGTTACGTTCTATTTGAATACGTTTGTTTCTAATAAAGTGGATTTCCTGTAAACTGCTGGATAAGCCTCTGTAAGTGCACTTTTCACTGTTGCAGTCAAACAGGGAAAACCCTGAAAACCAGAAATATTTCTGGAATGTTATTGTGTTGCAAGTAAAAAGCCACCCAGACGTGAAAAAACTAAACTGCAAGCAAGAACGTTGATTAGTTTGTGGTTTTGTGGCTAGTTTGTGTGTTCTCATCTTTGCTGTGATTGGTCATAACACAATAAACATTGCTGAATTATTTCACTGTTTTCCTGGTCGCACTGTAACCTTCAACCTGTCCAACAGACGACTCATTGCTGGTATCAATCCAAGATAATAAGGATCAATCCTAAAATTCCAGCATTATTGTTGCTGTATACAAAACCTGTGCTATTATCTCTTACATTATAATAATAATAGCTACAGTCTTGTTTAAATATTAATAATAATAGTAAGAAAAAATATTTAAGTAATACTGTATATTTTTGACTTTGTATGTGTATTTTTTAACCATTTTCATATTCACTTTCAGGGTGGTAATGACTATGAAATTTTCATGGATGAGCGAACAAAGGGACACAAAGTTACTTGTCCAGAAGACACCATGAACCAACTGAAAGAACTGTTCTCTGTCAGCTAGAGACTGCGGAGTTGAATATATTATAGCATAAATATATTACTTAATCAGGGGAATATTTTTTGGTGGACTAAATCAGCCATGCTTGATTTTAATTTTGAAATTTTGTAGTTTGGTTGTTGATCAGGGAGCAAGTGGGAGAACAATTGTTGATGATAAGGGTTAATTAAGTTTTTATTTGTACATGTAGATGTTAATTGGGACTGTAAAATTAATAAAAGGGAACGATATAACAAACACCCCCGCCCCCTCCTCCTTAGCCGTGATAGGGAATATTGCAGCATAATGTCATATTTTTCGCCATACTGATAGGTACATTGAATTGAATGGGATAAGCCCCTGAGGGCCAGCTATTAAAAGAGAGTTTAAGCAGTGTGAAGAAGACAGAGTTCTGAGTCCTTTTAAAATGGAAACTTGGCCAAACCTCACATCTATACATTGTTTGCTGTAAACATTTCGAACAATGCTTGCAGCCAAGACTAGAATACAAATGTACTATTTATCTTCTTAAAACATACACCTTACAAACAGATTTTGAGGCTCGCTGGGTGTCTCAAACTATGGCCTAAGGTGGAGTTTGTTTCATTGACTAACCCTTAGGTAACATATCTTGCTAACCCCCTTTTTACTTCACTACTGTATTAGCGTTGCAGTGTAGAAGCGTATAAAGGCATTGTCAATGTCAAAAGTATCCCAAAGAAAGGGAGCTTCAAGTGCTTATTTATATAAATTTATAATATCGTTTTACATATATATGGTGCATAAATGAGGATCAGGGTTTTTTTATTTTTAACCTTTTTTTGTGGCCACCACACGACAAAATTCTTTTTATTTAAGCCTGGTTTATCCCTTACTTCTCTACCTATTTTTGTAAAATGATTAAACTTAGTTGTAAACCATGGCTCGTGCCAGGGTACCCTTTACATCAGTATCATTGTTTACATAACATACATGTTCTCCATACTGTCAACATACATTTCCCGTGGTACTCAGAAGGAGAATTTGTTTAACAAACAAGATTTTTTTTCATCATTTCGTCATTGTCATCACCTTTATCTTCGTCTTTTTGCTCACCACCTTTTTTTGATTGAGTAGTGTAACAATAGGGAGAATTAAAACATTAGTCACTCATAATCATCATCATCAATATCTTATTATTTGGGCGTGGCCCAAATAGAGTAATGGAAACGGCTTGTTTTGACGTAAATGTGCAATAGGCACGCAATACGCGCCAACGGAAACAAGGCAAGTAAACAGGCGAAGCGAGGAGAAAGTCCGCCATGCGAACGTGTTGTACAAGGATCTTCAAGTTAAGGTAACAGGCGTGTGGGAAAGAAAGCTGTGCTAGCGCACGGCACTTTATCGCACTTTCACGATCTCAAAAGTTAACCCGTTGAAGTAAACTTTCGTTTCCTAAGAGGTCCGCTGATTGGCGTCTGACATTTTTTTGACGAGAGGATCGAAATGCACCAATCATAAAAAGACAGTTTTAATTGCGTGTTCCCTAAGAGGTCATCTGAATTTGCTGTTTTCTTCATTTTAGGGGCCGACCATTTAACTCTTGAGGGGGGGGTGGGGTGGTGATTTTGAAAAAAATTTTCTGAAAGCGCTTGTCGGAAGAAAAAAATTGCATGCAGCACAAATGTAATAGAAAGCTTACGGGAAAAAAATTTCCTGCCCACCAGATTGCTAGAAAAAAAATTCTTGATGACCAGAAATCACCCACAAAATTCATTTCTTTGGGGATAAGTGCTATCAGGTGCAGTACTCTCTTGCTGTGTATAACAAACAATTAACAATATTATTGGACGAGGTTGAGCAAAATATAGTGATTTGTCTGTGGTGAGCAGTTCGGCTTCGGCAAATAATTGATCTGCAAGACACTATCAAATCACGATATTTTGCGATAACCGAGTTCAATAATAATATTGTGTTATCATTCGATCGCCGAGTTGGTTTTTTTAATGAATATCCTTGGGAAGCAAAGCGATTTGCCATTTTCACGCAAGAGTGATTGCAAGAAGGAGAAAAGCACGGTTTCCTTTACGCATGAGCAGAATATCATTTGCAGCCAAACACTGCTGACGGCATTGTGCATGAGCAGACCATTATTTGTAGGCAGTTATTTGCAGGTCACGTGGTGGGCTTTCGGCCAATGAAAAGAAAGAAAATTTGCTTCAAATGATAATAATTATTATTTGCATTTATCACATGGTCAGTTTTTTGAAACCTTAGAATGACATTAACAGTCTGCCAGGCAAGGTAAAATTAACTTTAAGCCATGAGATCAATATTAGTGGCCAGAGCAGGACTTGAAGCTGGACCCCCAAGGTTGCAATCCAATGCGCGGGTCTTGGCCAGTCTGCCCTCTTGACTGTTGGGAAGCAGCATGGCGGAGTGATCAGTGCATCGGATTTGCAATCCGACATTCCCAGATTCGAGTCCTGCCTGGGCGCTGGATATGTTTTTGGTTGCCTCGCGTTGCTTCCTGCTAGTTGAGCTGGTTAATTCTGTTACGTTCTATTTGAATACGTTTGTTTCTAATAAAGTGGATTTCCTGTAAACTGCTGGATAAGCCTCTGTAAGTGCACTTTTCACTGTTGCAGTCAAACAGGGAAAACCCTGAAAACCAGAAATATTTCTGGAATGTTATTGTGTTGCAAGTAAAAAGCCACCCAGACGTGAAAAAACTAAACTGCAAGCAAGAACGTTGATTAGTTTGTGGTTTTGTGGCTAGTTTGTGTGTTCTCATCTTTGCTGTGATTGGTCATAACACAATAAACATTGCTGAATTATTTCACTGTTTTCCTGGTCGCACTGTAACCTTCAACCTGTCCAACAGACGACTCATTGCTGGTATCAATCCAAGATAATAAGGATCAATCCTAAAATTCCAGCATTATTGTTGCTGTATACAAAACCTGTGCTATTATCTCTTACATTCTAATAATAATAGCTACAGTCTTGTTTAAATATTAATAATAATAGCAAGAAAAAATATTTAAGTAATATTGTATATTTTTGACTTTGTATGTGTATTTTTTAACCATTTTCATATTCACTTTCAGGGTGGTAATGACTATGAAATTTTCATGGATGAGCGAACAAAGGGACACAAAGTTACTTGTCCAGAAGACACCATGAACCAACTGAAAGAACTGTTCTCTGTCAGCTAGAGACTGCGGAGTTGAATATATTATAGCATAAATATATTACTTAATCAGGGGAATATTTTTTGGTGGACTAAATCAGCCATGCTTGATTTTAATTTTGAAATTTTGTAGTTTGGTTGTTGATCAGGGAGCAAGTGGGAGAACAATTGTTGATGATAAGGGTTAATTAAGTTTTTATTTGTACATGTAGATGTTAATTGGGACTGTAAAATTAATAAAAGGGAANCCTCCCTCAAGAGTTAAATGGTCGGCTCCTTATGGTCATTTTCTTTTCCTTATTTTCTGATTTGTCGATTTAGTTAGGTCTAGTGGATAATCCAATGAGGGACGATTTGCATACCGTTTGATCCGAAATTTTTCGAAGCAGCAGTAAGAGGCAGTTTGGATAACATTTGGCCGCGGCGTTTCGAGGAACGTGTTAATATATTGTTCAATTATGTTGTCCCGGGTTAAACTTACAAATGCACACACTGTTCGCGGTAGGCCCACACTAAAAAATAACACTGAGTGTTTTCGGAATGGGCTGGTCCGCGAACTCAAAGAAAAGCAAAGGAAATTATCAAGACATTCAATGACATCAAAGACTCATGGACCCCACAGACGCAAAGACAAATCGGAATATCAGGAGTGTACGTGTAAAATGGATAAGAGTTTGAACAGAGGAATGTTAGACTAATGTTTAACAAGAGGACATGTTGGCTGGAAATATTTATGACTTTGTTTTGGTTGCTCAAGCAATGTTTGTTTGCATTCTAAACCGCTACAAAAAGTAAAAAGCTAAGATTTTTCCATCAATACGATTTTTCAGATTTTGCTGCCATTTATTTTATTTTCTTATGACAAAGGTACTTGAGATTCATACTATTCTGTTTAAGTACATGCACATGTATCATCAGAAAACGTTCTTGCCAAAATAGCTGCACTTTGTTTGATTCAGGATCAAGTTCATCTTCCCTGAAAAAAGTAAATAAATGAATAAGTAGATGTCAATATTTTATTGCCTTTATTATTTATTCAATAGTAAAAAAGAAACTATGCTTTATATACATTGTATTCACTCAGCAACAACCTCTTCAAATACATTCTGCAATACAAACCCATTTATTTATTATAGCTTGGTAATAAATTTGAGGTTAAAATGATAAATACAATAAAAACCCCTGACTATTACAACCTACAATTTCCTCCCTTTTATGGTACTTAGCACAAATTTAGGCTATTTAGGTTCTTAAATAGGTTCCTCGACGAAAAAAATACATTGCAGCTAAGAGTATTTAGTGGTGTTCAGTACATTCCTTATATAAAATCCTCACGGTGGAGTGATGAGTTTCCTATGTTTCTAAAGAGGATCCTGAAAGTTGGAACCCACCTTGGGTTTTTGATATGTTACAATATTTCGAAACGATTTTGCCTTCAGTAGAAAGCCTTTGATCTTCTCTTGAAGAAGAGGTATATTTTATGGGTGGTGGTGCTGCTGGAGGTCTGTGACGTCTCCAAACATGGTCGCCATCTTGGATTTTATTAAGAATTAGAAATAAGGTAAAACGCACTGAGAACTAATGATTGTTTCAGCTTTAAGGAGCGACTGTCTGTAAATATCGACCAAAAATTGGCTTTTTGTGGCACAAATTCAAAATTCGAATTTCGCTCACTTTTGGCTCATCGATAACTCTTAAGAGTAATGAAACACACTGTAATTAGTTTTCCCAAATAACGTGTTCTTTTGTTAAAATTCGAGAAAACTCATTTTGCCCGTTCGGGGCTCAAAATCTACTTCCGGTAAAGCGAAATTTTACACAAATTTCATTGACTCGTACGTCAAACCACAAC